TTTTTCACATTCTCTGTGCTATATATGAAGATATATGTATATATATCGTCACAAACGGAACTGCCCGGTAAACCGTAGGCAGAGAGAGAGAAGAGGACAACAAACGAGGGGCTGTGACAAACTGTTTCGTCGGAGTTTCACCGACTCATCAGGTGGCTGAATATATATTTGTTTTAATTATTATTTTTTCCTGTTGTATAAAAATTAAGTGTCATCCTTGTGCAAGGGCCATGGTAATCATCTTCTTGTGTGCTATTGTTATTTGTTTAATGCTTTGTATAGATAGATAATTTGGAGATGGAAAATGGGGCAAAGTCCAGCATTGTGACGCCATCCGAGAAGCAGGAACGGGAGGCATTCATGGATGTGTATCAGCTGTTGTCGCATGAGCTTGTAGAAGATTCTAGCCTTTTTATGCACACTGAGGACTCCCGTGCTTGGATTCTCGAGGTAATATTTTCCTTTTTCTTCTTCTTCTTCTTCTTCTTCTTCTTCTTTCTGGTGGTGGGGGGGGAGGAGGTAATTCGTCGTCTTGCTGATTCTGACATTCCTCAACTTTGGACTTTAAATCACCGAAATCACCGCTGACCGGGGCCTATCTGGTCAAGCCTGTCGTTTCCCTAAACCCAGAGGTTCCCAGGCCTTGTTGGCCGGCAAGATTGCAATCCAACGGCATGCGGCAGCGACCACAGTTTTTTTTTAACTGCTTGGCCTCGTTTTGGCCGGCACCTTGCTGCTACTGGGCTTGGCTGCAGGCGCCCTTGTATACTGGCGCAGCGGCTGTGCAAGCGTTTGGGGCAAGAAGGAAGGGAGGGGAGGGGGAGGGGGGGGGGRGGGGGGATTTTGAATCAATGCTGACATCAGTGGGAATCCACTACCTGCTTCTTGAAATGTGATGTTGAACAAGTGGCCTTTTCCATAACAACGTGTGAATGACGAGGGAGACCAGGCCACGAGCTAGGTGTTTTTTTTGTTTTTTTTTTTAAATCTCTGGAGCAAAGACGACGGGAGAGAGAGAGAAAGAGAGAGGACAAGGAGAAGGCCTTCAAAGAACTAAAACTTGGCATTTCTTGTGCAGCTGACAGCGTCTGGGCTATTATGACTCAGCGTGATGAGAGTCCTTCCGTGTAGTCGATCATGGCAGCATCACTCTAGAGTGAAAACTTCTAGAGAGCCCTTAATTAAAAAAGAAAAGAAAAGAAAAGAAAAGAAAAGAAAAGAAAAGAAAAGCAGTTCCCCATCGAAGCCCAATCGAATCAATGCAATTTAATGACTGTGCCTGTGCATGATAAATATTAAATAGTAAATACTAAATAGTACAAAATTATTATCTAAATAGTAAATAGTAAATACTAATTAAATAGTAAATAATATTAAAGCACGAATATTCAATCCTTCCCCTGAAATCAGTGAAATCATTGAAATGTGATTTTTCATTTATTTTTTTCTTTCTGAATTGTGATTTTTGAAGGCACTCGCGAGCTGCTTACCGACGGTTACATTTGTGTCCCATCCAGCCACATGGGCTGCATGGCATGGAGTCGATATTTGTTTTTGTTTGCTGTGAATTCCCCTGTAGTGATTGTCATGTGGAACATACTTAGAAGTAATCACAGGGCCAAAAAAACAAACGAAAAAAAAAGAAAAATAAAAATAAAAAACGAAAAAAAAAGGAAGTAGTAGTTATCACAGGCCACTCAGACACGATGTTCATTTCAGCAATCAAGGAAAAGGCGGCACTGCGGTCATGCGCAAAGGACTAAGGAACAGGCCATGGAAGCAGTAGTGGCGGTGCTGCTAGGACATGAAATCGCGAGAATTGGTAAAAAAAGTATATCTACGTGAATTATGTAATTTATTTCAGTCTTCAGTTTCTTAAAATATTCTTATTGGCATGATATGGGGAATGATTTCCAGATAACGTGAAGTTAGCACGCCAATGAAATGTGTGCATGTGTGTGTGTGTGTGTGTGTGTGTGTTTGTGTGTGTGTGTGTGTGTGTTTGTGTGTGTGTGTGTGTGTGTGTGTGTGTGTGTGTGTGTGTGTGT